ATTGGCCATTTTTAGGATTGCAAAGATCCAAAATGGGAGTAATAAAAAAACAGCTTACTTTTTATGCACGCGAAYGGTCATTGTGTATCATCGAAGGGTCGTTATTTACACTAATTTTGTRGAATTTTCTAAACGTAGAAGCCATTTCAATGTATTTATGGTGTGAGCGTGTGGAAATAAAGAAACACATTATTAGAAATAAAAGTACCATAAACCATCGAATTCAGTATTAAACGGAAAAATGAGTATAAAAATTTCATTTTTAATTAAATTTCACAATAATATTTTTAGTGACAAAGSACTTACAGGATGAAATTTCTCAGAAACTTAAATGTTTCCCGTGTTAATAAAATTCTTCTACCTTATGACGCTTTAAAGGTGGCGCAATTAAATGCATCTCTTTAATGCTTCGTTTAATTGTTTCTTGAAACATTAAGTAATTAAATAAAGATAGTTACATCTCAAAGTATTTTATGACTAGGCACAACTACTGTTCTTATTAATCCACGTAATAGGTACAATAGAAAATTAAAAAAAAAACTATGAAACTAGTAAACATTACTTTTATTACTGTTATAAACATTTATGCCCTGTCACTTTAAAAATATACAACTTTATATGCGGTCCGCATGATTTATGCACTATTAATATAAAACTTCATGGTTTACTGCTAGCATAAAGAATTAAGTAGAAAAAATAACAAAAATMCCAACAAATCTGGTGATTACTGCCAGAGTCCTGATATTTTTCTAGCATATTAACAAACTAATTAAGCAAACCAATGAAATATTCAGAATCCAGAAATAATAAAAAACATTATAAAATTCTAAACTCTAATTTCTTGTTTCATATGTATATATACTCGTATGAGTATGTACCTACTTATTTCTCCAAGACATGAAACATTTTATATACGCAAAAATTTGGTGATAAATAAATTTTGTTTTTCCGATGTTATGATTGCAACAAAAATAAAGAATGTAGATATGCATTATATAATAATAGTAACTTTTTATTCACTTAAAGCACAGAATCTAAAATCTATTAACTACATCTAACAGTGTTTTCATTTAATTGGAAAAGTCAACAAAATTTTTCATTCAGCCAAAGAGTTAATGGAAAAAGCAAATGTAAAATTCCCGTTCTTTCGTTTTTAACACGCAACGTTCATCCGTCTCATGCAACTGTCAATGATAATTTGTACATAAATGTGTACTTTAGAATGTTTAAAATGCTAAAATTATGATCGGAATGCAATAATTTATAACAGAATATAAACCAATTTCAATTTAAAACAATTCGACTAAACTGAATTAATTCCACCCGGTTGTAGCAACAAAACAGAGTTAATTAAATAAAAGATAATTAATTTTAGATCCTGTTACAAATCAAATAAAGACAAACGAATCAGTTAAAAAACGTCATTCGAGTGATGTTTCAACGAGAGGTAAAACTTTTCATAATTAATTTTAAACACTTGAAATTATTTCTTCTGCCAAACTTTTCCGTTTCGAAATAAATATTCATTAAATGTCAAGTAAATTACGCAAACTTGTGTAACTTAATCCGGTGGGACYTCAATTAACCCCCTGGAAATAAACCGGCAACGATTTCTAAGAATAACAATCGGCTTTCATCCCCCACGTAGAAAAATATTGTTTTTTCATTTCGGCCAGGTAATGTTTCGGGGATGTTAGAAGAGATTACATTAAATGGAATAGTCAATATTTAATTTGTGTTTTACGCGGCGTTCCTAATTCGTCGACTGTCTCCGTCGCAACCTCGCTATCGGCCTGTTTTCTACCACCGTCATCGCTGGGGGCATATATTTTCCCATTATTTAGTGAGCTGCCCTGTGTGTATTCCCTCGTGAGACTGGTCGCTCATAAATTAGACTTACCGCCACCAGCTGCTATTGCTATTCATATTTTACATGCTTTACACAACAGGGAAATTATTATATCTAATTAATTAACGAAACCAAAACTATAATTCATTCATGGTTGATCTCTGCAATCCGAACAAGAAATATCCGTTAAATAATGAAATTGTGACTCACGAAGGTCCTATTTCCGGCTCACTGTTCATAGAAAAAATAACACTTCGACTCATATCGGGGATTTCACACGAATCTCTGGACGCAATGGAATGGTCGAACAAAAACTAGGTCACGACATTAACTTGTCTTTATTTAAAAAAGCACAATGGAGCGAAAAGAAAATCTTAAGGAAAAGAAAACTGACCACTTCGAAGCGTACACACAAAATAGCCAAACAATTTTATGTTTGCGTTGAAAGTAGAATTAAAAAAACAAAATTTAAAAATTTAGACATTTAAACAATAAACACAGAATATAATACAGTCGAGTGTCATCAGAACGTCGTATAAATAAACCATCCGATCGTGGAAAGCAAACTCGGTGTCAATTTGTGTTCCATTCCTCGTAACAATACAAAATTTAAATTTCAAACACATAATCCTGCATATCTAGCTTTTGATAATCAACGCGCTCTTTGGGTACTATTTCGTCCATGCAAACGTATCAATCAAAATCTGGTGCAAAATTACACGTTCATTTGCTTAAATTAAACAAAGTCGTTGAGTTTTTTTCTTTTGAGTATATAGCATTGCAAATTTAGAGCAAATTCTATTTGATTCGAGTGTTTGATGTGCAATTCCTGTTTACTTTTCAAAAAACAAATAATTCTTCCAATTAAAAGCTAATAGCCGTGATCAGTTTAAGAGAAATGTTATAAGAAACGAATTGCGGAATTGCTAAGTGGAAAACAGTGTTCGTCTTAATAGTATGAGAGGATTTGCTTAGTGCAGTCGGACTTTGACAGTTTGCCTAATGTCTCGACTAGCACTTGATTGCCCTGACACAATGGTAGTTGTCGCTGATTTAGAATACACACTATAACAAAATTAATGCTACACTACAAAAGCCATTGCAATTAGTCTGTTCTTCACTAATTTCATTCAATTTGGCTTTTGTACAACGATGAAAATCTCGGTGCTACGTTGCAGACGTATTGTTCGGCGCAAAGTTATCGATTTTCAAAATCCTTATAAAGTAATTTTACTCAACACTGTCCTATTGTTAAGATACAAAATAACATCAGAGATGAATAAAATAATCATCCCCGAAAGCTTGCGTATTTCAATTTAAAACATTTTGACTGAAATTTCAGACTCACTCGTGAAAACAATATCACCTCTTTGAATAGTGCTTTCACTCAAATATCCGAAATTATGATATTTAAACAAAATGRGCCATTTTAATGACACAGAATATCTTTTCTACACTAAACTAAATAGGTATATATACAGGGTGATTCTTAAATAGACCGACAAAATTTTATCCTTGGTAGAATCAAATGAGTAAGTACATGCTGGAAAAAATAAGAAGAAAATTCTTTGTTTAATAGTTCTCCAAATAAAATTTATTAAAGTTATTTTTGAGGTAAAGCGTACGCCACTGATGTGTTTGTAA